AGTAGCTCTAAACTTAAATTATTACAAACTTGTGATATTTGTTTTCAATCCAAACAAGTTCGTAGTTCTTTTCCTGTTAGTTCCAATAAAGCTACCAGTGTTTTTGACTTAATTCATTGTGATTTATGGGGTCCCTACACCCCTTGTTTAGCTACTGGTGCACATTATTTTCTCACTATTGTGGATGATCACTCTCGTGCAGTTTGGGCCTATTTGATCATTGATAAATCTGAAGTCACTAGTTGTTTGAAACAATTTTTTTCCATGATACAGACCCAATTTCACAAAACCATAAAAATTGTTCGTTCTGATAATGGGACTGAATTTGTCAATCAGGACCTTAGGTCATATTATGCCACTTTGGGTGTTCTTGTTCAAACTTCTTGTGTGGGTACTCCTCAACAAAATGGTCGGGTAGAACGAAAACATAGACACATATTAAATGTCGTCCGGTCCCTTATGTTTCAAGCTCACTTACCTATTGAATTCTGGGGGGAATGTGTTCGTACTGATGTTTATTTAATTTACCGTACTCCCAACAAACTGCTTGGTGGCAAGTCTCCGTTCGAAGTTCTGAATCACAAAGCACCCGATCTTAGTCATCTCCGAATTTTTGGATGTCTATGCTTTGTACGACTTAGGACTTCCAATAAATTTTCTCCTAGAAGCACCAAGTGTATGTTTGTTGGGTACCCCTCTGACACAAAAGGTTGGCGTGTGTATGACCTTGATACTCATCGTTTCTTTCACACTCGGGACATCGCTTTTGACGAGAGCACGTTCCCGTTTGCCACCCATCACACGCCGGCCGAACCCTCTACCTCCACCCCACACGCTGATTTCCCCGAATTACCCCAGCCCGACCCCCTCCCGGCTGCTGTACCTAACGGCCAGCCCGCCCAGCCGACGGCTGCCGCCGAGCAGCACACCGACGACCAGCCCCACTCCCATACAGCTGCCGCTCCTCCACTTCGTCCTCAACGGCAGCGTCGTCAGCCATCTCATCTTAGTGATTACATCGTTAACTCTGTTCAATCTCCCGCTCCATTGTGCTCATCGCCTTCCCAGTCATCGTCTTCAGGTACACGTTGTCCTATTGCCAACTTTGTTTGTTATAATAAATTGCATGACAGGTATCGAGGATTCCTTGGCGCCATCAGTCCTCATTTTGTTCCTAAAAATTATTCTGAGGCAGTACGACATGCCAATTGGCGTGCGGCAATGGACACGGAGCTCCGGGCATTGATCAATAATAACACTTGGGAAATCTCAGACTTGCCTCCAGATCGCACAGCTTTGGGCTGTCAATGGGTTTTTAAGACCAAGTTTAATTCAGATGGCACTAAAGAACGCGACAAGGCCCGCCTAGTGGTCCTTGGAAACCATCAGACTTTGGGAGTGGATTACACCGACACCTTTACCCCGGTAGCAAAAATGGGTTCTGTTCGAGTTTTGCTCTCGGTGGCTGCGGCAAAAGGGTGGCAGGTCCACCAACTTGATGTTAACAATGCTTTTCTTCATGGTGATCTGATTGAGGAAGTCTACATGCGGTTGCCACCCGGTCTTTCACATTTGTACCCAGGAAAGGTTTGTCGATTGCGTAAATCTCTTTATGGTTTGCGTCAATCCCCCCGTAATTGGTTCGGGAAACTTACTTGTGCCCTCCGGCAGTACGGGTTTCGCCAGGCTCATGCTGATCATACTCTCTTTATTCATCGTCGCGGGGCTGATATTCTAGTTGTCTTGGTCTACGTTGATGACATTTTGGTTGCAGGTAACAACCCCACTCTATGTGATTCTTTTAAGGTATATCTTGATCGATGTTTCCATCTGAAGGACTTGGGACCCTTATCATATTCTTTGGGCATTGAGTGTGCTCGATCTGAGGCGGGGATTGTTCTGTGTCAGCGAAAATATGCACTAGATATTCTTCATGAGGCCGGTCTCTTGGGTTGCAAACCGGCCGAAACACCCATCACGCCGAATCACGGACTCGGTCGATCGACCAGTGCAGAGTTACGTGACCCGGCCCAGTATCGGCGACTAGTTGGTCGCTTGATCTACCTCACTATCACTCGTCCAGATCTCACTTATTCGGTTCATGTTCTGTCTCAATTTATGCATGCACC